GTCTCCGCTCATCTGGATTGTGAACGATGTTGAGGGCTGCCATCACACCATCGATGTTGTTGCAGGCTACAAGATCACCTTCCATGAAGAAGAATGGGACAAGATCCTTTTGACGGTCACGGAACATGGAAACCCTAACATCACCTGCCAGGAGATTCTACTGCTGTAGTCTGGAGCCCAACAGCTCTGCCCAACAGTTCCAAATCCCTGACAAGGTCATTTAGTTCACCTTGTGTTATGAGGTGTGGTTCAGAGGAGGAGGATGGGAGAAAATGTGGGTCCTGTGACATTGATGGTTCAGGACAAGAAGTTTCATCCTCTTCCTCGTCTGACTCAAGTGAGCATGATTCTGGTGCATCAGGAACTGTCAGTCCTTCTCTGTGGGGTACTAGGCGTATAGTTGATGGAATGTTTGGATAATGCACAGTCCACTTTTTCTTCTTTGACACACCTTTCCCAACTGGAGGCACCATGCAGAAGTAACAATTGCTGGCATGATCTGTTGGCTCTCTCCAAATCATTGGCACTGCAAAAGGCATAGATTTCCTTTTCCTGTTCAACCACTGGCAAAGATTTGTTGCACAAGTGTTGCAGCATGTGTGTGGGGCCCACCTCTTGTCCTGATCTCCAATTTTGCAGCCAAAATAAAGGTGATAGGCTTTCTTAACCATAGTGGTTATACTGCACTTTTGTGATGCAAAAGTCACTTCACCACAAACATAGCAGAAGTTATCTGCACTGTTCACACAAGTACGAGGCATCTCTGCTCACTTTGGCTAAACAGAAATGTGTCCCTTTGCAAAATCAAACACTGACAAATAAGAGAGCATGACACTGTATGATTTCTAGAGCTGATATAGGGCAATTTGGTCAGCAGAGTGATGTAAGCTTCATTATGATTGCATCATCCATGACTTCTAGAAATAACTTGATGCAATTCATATAATGTATGACGTAATACCAGCTTCAGATTGCATCATTCATTGTTTTGCCTAAAAAGCAAGTACTGTCCAAACCCAGTCATAGATTTATTCATAGATCCAGTCAAAGATGTATTTTAGTCATTTCTGGTTTAAATTGAGAACCCTTCCCTTTATAACTCACTTATCCTCTGCCATTCACAAGTCAAGGGTCATATATACTGACCCAATAGCATATCTTGAAAACTAGAGCTAATCAACAATTTTAAGCATCATTTTCGTTTTCAGTGACCCAGATTTAGTAAAGTTTGACTACATTTATTTCAGAAGCATTTTGGCTGTAGAGCAGTATTCTGAAACTTAGTTCTGAAGTGGGGTCTTACCCCAGAAAAGCTCATACTACTATGTTAGTCTAAGGTACCACAGGACTACACTTTGTTAAAGTTACAGACTAACACAGTTATGCCACTGGAACTTAGCCTTTAAGGTGCTGCTAGATTATTGGTTAAGTTTTACCTCAAAAACTAACAACAAAACATGTAGATGGTATCATGCGCTTCTGTGGGTACAACCCAAGTCAGGTGATAAGTGGGTTGTACCCACAAATGCTCATGATGCTATCTACATGTTTTGTTAGTCTTTTCTAGACTATTCATTGTGGTTTAGGTTTTTCCAGTTACAGACTAACTCAGCTACCTCTCTGAAGTTAATTTGTCAAGTTAGCCAAGATTGATGAACAGTCATACCAAACAAACTGCATCTCTCCTGCAAACTGCTCATTCTAGTACATTTGACAGGGCCACTAGGTGCTTTTGTATTTTGCCTTTTAATACATTCCAGAATTGTTGAGTCTCTCTAAAGCTACATCTACACTGCAGGCTGTTCTTGCGCAAAAACTTGCCAGGTGTCTACACTTGCACACGTGTTCTTGTGCAAGTAAATTTACAGTACAGCATTAGAAAACAGGGCTTCTTCCAGAAGAGTTATTCCTCTCTCCATAGAGGAATAAGACCTCTTGTGCAAGAGCTCTTCCACAAGAAGGCAGTGTAGACAGGCAATATGAATTTCTTGCGCAAGAAACCCCTATGGCTAAAATGGCCATCAGCTTTCTTGCACAAGAGTGTCTCCACGCTGCCATGGATGGACAAAAGCACATGTCAGTGTGGATACGCTCTTGTGGAAGACCTTTTACACAAGAACTCTTGCACAAAACTGTTCTTGCACAAGAAGCCTGCAATGTAGACATAGCCCAAGGGCACTTCCTTCCAGCATTTACAATTGTAATCAAAAATATTTTACATATATAGAAAGATGCCTATCAGCAAGCAATAATAGCTATTAACACCTTCAACAGGCAGAGAAATTGGAGACAGTGGTGTCAGAGACAACATGCAGAAGGCTGGGTAAGAATACTATAGGAGGAGATGAGCTAATGGTGTTTTATTCTAGACTATGCAACTAAGAGTTTATTCTAGAGAGCTGAGACTGAATGTGATGTGTCTGTCTCAGATGTACTATACTACTAGCAGAGTTGGAAATTTGCCTGTCTGATTTCCTCTTATTCCTTAGAGTGTTGATCTATTTATTTGTAGCCTGGACCGCTTACTCCATTCATCCGAAGAAGCAGATTGATGTAGATGGTATTGTGAGATTTCATGGGCACAATGGTCCCCAATGCGGTGCCTGTGGGTGCCATGGCACCCGCTGGGGCATGTATGTGTTCCTGCCGAATCATCGGGGCCGGCCCCGCCCCCAGACAGCCAGTGTGTGAGTGGCCTCAGCCCTGAAGGTTCCCCAACCTTTAGGGGCTGCTGATCTACATTGTTGTTAGACTAAGGTGCTACAAAACTATATTAAGTTCTCCTTAAACTTCTATCATCCATTTGGGATGCTTTCTAAATTTGAATATGGGGAGGATGGTATAGGATTAGCCAGCCTGTGTGTAAGACAGTCCAAGTTGTATTTAGTAGGCTGGCTTGGTTAAGCCTACATAGATCTTTAAAAGGGAATAATTATTTGACTCTACATGGTGTCTCAGAGGTGCAAGTGCAGTTAAAAGATGGAAGCTAAAATTAAAGAACCTCGCCACTTCACAAGATTAGGGGGGAAACCCTTTCCAGAAGTCTTGTTTATAACACCATTGAGCAGCTAAGTTTGTATATGCAAAAAAGAGCAAGAGACATTTGGAGCAAAGCATCTTCAAAAATAGACTTTATTTTAAGTCAAACTTGGAACACAAAACCAAGTATCAAAAAATATTCTCCTTGCTTAAATAAAAGCCAGGTGTATATTCTGGTCACAAGATGTGCAGTTAAGCATATGAAATCATGGGGACCTGTTAAAAAGTAAGTGTCTGAATACAAAAACCTGTCCTTAATCTCCTTCAAATGCTAAAATTGACAAGATTCTTAAATAGCAAGGAAACATTTAGTTCCTATAGAAATGATTATGGACTGCACTGGCCCATAATTGTAGTGCTTGAACATCAAACCAAACTTCTGAGATGTAATATATTTAAAAATACATAAATAACTATACCATTTACAAGTTAAATATTTAATATTGAATTTAGGCTTCTATATAAAGCTATTGTACTTTTAAAAAGCTATAGAATTTCAACTAGAAGTAATCTTGAATCTCAGATTTGGCCATTGAAACCTATGAATTTGGTAGGCAGGTTATCCACTGGATACACTATGGGGCCAGTTTTCATTGTAGGAGGTCCATTTAACAGCTGCCAGTCACAATTCCGAGCCAACTCCACCATAAATATTTTGAGAAGGATTTTTGCAAACTCTTTGCCCACACAGGTTCTCAAGCCCCCTCCAAAAGGGATGAAACTGAACCTGGAGGAATCCTCTGGAAAAGGAGACATGAAGCGATCAGGATCAAATTCATCCTTATTTGTGAAGAGGTCTGCAACATCATGTGTATCACAGATACTGTAGATAACATTCCAGCCTTTAGGAATCTGATAACCCTGTAAAAAAAATATAAAATGTTAGGAAATTCCTATATGCGCAGATATCAGCTCAGAGGCAGATGGCAAAAAGATTTTACAGAGAAATAAAATCCTTGTATACATTGTCAGAATTTCATTCAGATAAAAATTACTATGGAGAAAGTTCTAGCCTTGAAAGGGATTTAATAGATGTAAAGTCCAGCTTACATTTAACTCAAAAGTCTTGAGAGCAACTCTAAATCCTCCGGGAACTGGTGGGCTCAGCCTGAGGGTCTCTTTGATAACACAGCCTGTGTATTTCAGCTGTTCCAAGACTTCCATATCCAGTTGGGTGTTGTCTTGGTTCATGCTGCACAATAAGCCCTAGAAGAGATTAACAAGTTAACACTATGTACATTTTAAAAAAAAGGTCAAGCCACAATTTGAGATCACAGGACACTGCATTGCTGTCAGTAATGGTGTACTAGTCATCACAAGAGAAAGGACTCCACCAAACAAGCTTGAATCACTGCAAACTTCATTTCTCAAAAAGGAGGAAATTCAGCTCTTCCTGACAAGGGAGCATAGAGAATAAGTCTCATTTGAGCAAAGTCATGTCCCTAAAACTGCTTATGGTGAAGGAGGAACACAGACTGCATAAAGAGAAGTCGGTCTTCTCTGTGGAAGTGCTCACCTTCGTTTGTAGCTCCTGTCTCACTTTTTGCAGAACCTCCCGATGAAGCCCCAAGAAGGTGATGAGAGATGTGGCCGCACTAGCGGTGGTTTCATGGCCGCCAAACAGAAGTTCTGTTGCAGATTCTTTTAGCTCCTGAGACAGAGAGCAGGCTGTTTGGTTGGGTTTAACTAAAACACTGTTATTTTAGGTACTCGAGGCCACACTGCACGCCAGAGTTAAGCCCGGCCCGATGCATTGCCCTCATGGCCTGCCCAGATGCTCTTCTAAAACTGCATGCCGAGTAAAGCAGCAAGACGACTCCGCAGCAAAACGCCGGGGGGGGGGGAAGGAGCATCGACTCCTCTCCGGGGACGCGATGTTGGAGTCCAGATGGCTTAGAGGAAGGGGCGCCCTGGCTTTGCCCACTGCACCTGGGCCATTACAGAGGGGCTCAGGACAAGGGGGGCTTTGGAGAGCAAGACGTGCCCTGGGAGCTGGGGCCAGGTTCAGGTAGCGCCAGATCCCGGGCGCTCCAGGTACGAGACTCTTCCAGTGTAACCCGAGAACTGCCCCCACTAGGTGGTCAGAAATGAGGCCCTGAAGGGTTCCCCAGGCTAAGCTCGAGGGCCCCTTCCTCTCCCGCCCCCATCTTCCTTCGCCCGCTGCCGCACTGCAGGGGGAGAGAACACTTAGGGCCCAATCCTGCCCCCGTTTCTGCAGCAGGCCCGTTGCCATTGAGTTTAAAGGAAGTAAAAACCGGGCTGGGGCCGCGGGGGGAGCCTCACCTGCATGTTCAGCTGCTCGCCGTTCTCCTGCGTGTGCTCCAGCAGCAGCTGCAGCGCGTCCTTACAGCCGCCCGCGGGCTGCCCACGGGCCATCTTCGCCCGGATGTTCTCCTCGATCTTGGCGTGGATGAAGTTCCGCGCTCGCAGTCCCTATGGGCGGAGAAGGGACCCAAAGTGCTGGGCCGCGGGGGGAGCCTCACCTGCATGTTCAGCTGCTCGCCGTTCTCCTGCGTGTGCTCCAGCAGCAGCTGCAGCGCGTCCTTACAGCCGCCCGCGGGCTGCCCACGGGCCATCTTCGCCCGGATGTTCTCCTCGATCTTGGCGTGGATGAAGTTCCGCGCTCGCAGTCCCTATGGGCGGAGAAGGGACCCAAAGTGCTGCGGGTCATCCCGCTGCCAGGCCTCCCTCACCCCACCCCGGGCGCACGCTGCCAAGCCCTGCCCCTGCTGCCCAGCACCGACTGCCAGCCCACCCGCTCACACCGCGGGGCATGGCCCGGCCGCCTAGAAACCCTGCCTCACCCATCCCCCGGAGGTGCCTGGGGCCCCAGCCCAGCCCACAGCGAGCCCGGGCGGGAGCTTTACCCGGTAGAGCCCGCTGAAGGGCACGTCGATGGGCAGGGAGAAGAGGTTGCGGATCATCTCCTCGAAGGCTTCCAGCAGCTGCTGCTCGCTGTCCCGGCCCGCGTGGCCCGGCTCGAAGCCCAGCAGGATCCTCATGGCGATGCGGAACATAAGGCGCTTCACTTCGGGGTACACCAGGAGGCAGGAGCCGGCGCTGCGCAGCCAGCGCGCCAGGCAGGCGCTCACCTCCTCCTGGATGCCGGGCACGTAGTGCTGCAGGGCCTCCCGCGAGAAAGCCTTCATGATCACCTGCGGGACAAGGGGCAGGCTCAGGCCGCCGCTCGGCACCGGCCCGGGGTGAGCGGCCGGGGTTGCGGAGGGGCGCGCGCACCCGCTCCAGCCAGGCCTCTCGGTACCTTTTTGCGGTGCTTATGCTGCCCGTCGTGCAGATTGGAGAGGCAGCCGGAGCCCAGAATAGTGCGCACCGAAGCCGGCCACTGCACCGCCACCAGCCGGTGCTCCCCGAGCAGGATTTGCCGCACGTTCTCGGCCCCCATCACCCGCACGGTGGGGCGCCCGAAGAGGTGGGTCTTGTAGATAAACCCGTATTTCCGACGCTTCATCTGCAGGAACTTCCGCCGCTGGAGGGAGAGAAGGGCCGGGTCAGCCGGTCCCAGCCCCAGCCCAGGCACTGGAGTTCAGCGGACCGGGGAACCGCGATCACGGTTGCCCCAGCCTGGCCCCGCAAAAGGAGAAGCTGGTTCCCCGGTGCTCTCCAAACTAGGGGCTTACCCTCCCCAGGGCCGGGCGCGCTCGCCTGTCTTACCTGCAGCACCAGTTGCAGCGTCTCCCCAAAGAAGGGGAGCCCCATGGTGCCCGGGGGCAGCGGCAGG